TGGGGATTTTAATTTGTTACATGGTAAAGCCAATGAATTATTGACATGTTTAGCCATTTTTTTCACGTTAACAAAAAATATTGATCATTTTCTACCGCAAACGTGAACACATGCACTTATCTTTGTATTGCCACTGTTTCCATCATGTTTGAGCCTTTTTTGGCTCCGTTCTACGACTACGAACGCATTGCGGAGTGGTTATATAAAGGCTGATATTTTGTTGAAACTACCAATATCTTGCTCGTTCCATTTCTAAATTAAGTATATATAGAAGCTGTACTGCACGAAAAGTAGTGTTCCATACGTTCAAAGCTAAAAATTACTATTTGGTGGTACTCATTTCTGTGACGACAAATATAACTTCCCAAACAGCAAAACAACTTTAGCCCATTCAAAAGAACCATTGGCTGAGTGAGTTATTACTGCATTTAGGGCACCATATTGTTTATATTTGTTAATCTGACTTCTAACGATCGAGTAAACCTCCGGTTCTTTTCAATTAACCTGTGTATTAGTAAGCTGATTGCGACAATTAGTATCTGATAACAATCAATTTTAAATTACGAAAAGGTCTGTTTAGTAAAGCTCTCGAGAGTCATGCATTCTTCTCTCAAAGAAAAAACGCTCAGATGCGCGAACGAAATTTAAGACAGGTAATTGCATGGGATTTTGCTCGTGTGTATCACAGTGTCCATTTTCGCCGAAATTTATGAACACTGTTCTTGATAAAATTACGGGGACACATTTTCTGCTCTGGAACAAGGGCGATTTCTTTAAAGAGGCAGGTTGATTGAGCAGAGTGCGAGACGTTTAAGGCGTTCAAAATTCTCATACTAGTTTTTTATCAGGTTTTATAAAACTGGTCATTCGCTGTAAGTCGATATGCAAAAAAACTGACTGCTCTAGCGTCGACGGTTATAGTACTGGTTGTGCTAGACCCATGACATTACTGTTGTTAGTTGATCCATCGCCGATGTCGCAAATTTTTCATAGACGGATGAGTTAAATACCTCATGATTTAGGTCTGTGGAAAATAAAGATAGCATTTTTGTTATCATCAACCTACCTCAGAACAAAATCTTCTTAATTTACGGATCTGAATTTGAAAATAAAAGATGCCTTTCTTCTAAAATTATCGGGTTCAGTAACGCTCAACACCGCCTGGATATTAAAAAGCAGTCATTTCCACCCAGACCGTATCCTAAAACCTTTTAATTGAAATAAGTGAATTCTTACTGTATGGAAACAATAACAGAAGAACATATGACTTAAAACACAAGCGGGAGCGTAGATAAAGCAAAGTCTCCTAATACATTAGAACGCTGAGACTGGTTTGGATACCAGACTCTATCACGCACGTGCAACATTTTTAAACGTTCAAACTAATCAGGACCGCTTTTCTGACCGCAAAGTAATAAGGTTCTTTTTTAATATTTTTGACGGCAGCAGAGCGTTTCAGTGGTTACGTCTTCTCTGAATATAACTGGAAACTAGACGTTCCTTTTCAATGAAAAACGACTTTTACGGTGAGGTCTGTTGTTTTGTGTGTGAAATCTTTAGGCTTATGATTTAAACTTACAGTCGAAATAATTTTCTGGGTCATTAGTGAATGACGAACAGTATTGCGAAATCACAAAATATCTTCGGAAGTTGGATTTGGTAACATGGATTCTGCAGCTGTGCGTGGTTTCCAATAGAAACGAACAGGCTGGTGCCAGGAAGCAGTTCAGAAGAAGATACGATCGTTGGAACAAGAAGTTTATTGGCCTGACGTTTCGGATTCTCACCCGAACCCATCAGAGACAGCTGCAGATAAAGGTAGTGAAGGCACAAAGAATGCAGTATTTATAGCGCGTGGTTGCAGTGGGTCCACATGGGTACTATAATTAACAGCTCTCGTGATCACCGCTGGGGGTCGTAATTGAATCGATAATGGCTCGTCAGTCCGGGTCCGAGTCGTTAATTGCTGCAATTTCATCATGCTCGTTGGATGTTGGCGTAATGATGACTTGGTAGTTTAGCCCGCTGTTAGCGGCATTGTTGCTCGTCCGCACCCTCCCTACGTGACTGATTCCCTGCGTGGTTCTGCTTTTAGATCTCGGTTAGCAGTTTTTAGACACTCATATTTAAAAAAAGACATCCAGTCTCCTTAACGATAAGCAAGACAACAGTGTGGGAGCGTGCGTAGTCTTTCAGATACAGTTGGGGCAAATGACTTTGTCTGCTTTTGCATGGTTTTTGGCCTTTCTGCTTAGTTGACCGTAGTATACATTGTAATTTCACGAACATCTTAAAAGGCCTTTTCGTTATATTAAAAAAGCAATTTATATACAGGATGTAAATCCCTATTTTCTTATTTAAGGCAAATGTAATTCACTTCCTTCTGGTATCTCTTCACATTTTCCACCATTAGTTTTTCACCTTTCTTGGACAATAAACAATTATTTACTTACAATTTGATTGCACTTTCGTGTATGTATTACCATAAACTTCACATTTTGGGAATGACGACATCTGTCCTTTTGTCCGCAAATCAGAAGTTAAGTTTTGAATTTAGTTATCACCTCAAAGAAAGGTTTTAAGGACCTCATGTCCTAGTTATAGTCAGCCCTGTGTTCTGCTCAGTACGTACGACGTTTATTGGAATTAAATTTGCGACGGTTTTAAGCAGCAACATTTAAAAACTATCTGTGATTCCATTGGTTGTGAGAATCAACCAATGAGACTGTAAAAGGATAGGCTTTGTCTCACGCCTTGCCGGGCAGTCAAATTATGATTTATGTTTCATTGTAGGATAAGCCTCAAATGTTTCAAGTTTCCAAGAGCAATGCTGTAAGTGTTCTTTGATATTTGTATAAGAAATGAAGAAACCAAATCAGAACACATAGTGGACCTTTGCTTTATAAAAAGATACTTAGATTTGAGCATTATTTGTCTAAATAAACAAATTAAGGTTCTCAACACTAGTTTTTAATGATTTAAGACATAAATTCACTTATTGAACTACGCTACTTTCTTAAGCATGAGTCTTTTAAGCAGTTGCCGGATTCAACGGCGTGTAGTTCGAAGTTGTGGGTAATTTCCCTTACTTGTAGCTGGTATTTTCCTATATGTTTGATTTAACTGTCCTGATTACCAGAAGTATTAATTAACTGCTAATCTTGCCGCTTTGTATTTCGCAGAAATGTTTTGGGAGTTTAGTAAGGCTTCTACAGTATGTTTTGCCTTGTTGAAAATACCCCCTGTGTTGCAATTTATTTATGCGAGTACTGTCTGAGCAAGTCTTGTGATAATTAGACAGGATAAGTACGATAGGGCACAATGAATGTGTTTTATCAGAAAATGTGATTAGAACAGTTAATATGGACTGTGCTACCCTTTCTTCTGCACAGGAGCTATCTGGCCATAAGTCCCAGTAGAGCAGTTAATCAGATAATAAATACAACTGCTTTCAATGCTGGCAGCCGTGTCCGAAACAACTCGGCCGTCGTTAAATAAGATCAACAACTCAACACTGCTTGATAATATGGACTTCCTTGTTTTGCGCAGTTTCGCAGTAAAATCCCATACCAATAAGAAGTAAATGCCTATGGTTTCAGTTTATCTATTTATCCGAATGCGGGCGATTTTGTGCAGAAGTGTTAACTTCGGATGTGATCCAGACCTGTGTGCGTTTTATCATAGCGAGTAGGATATGTGCATTGTGAAATCCAAATATAACCTGAACTTTTCATCTACAGCGAAACTACCACTCATCTCTCCGCACCTAACATACTGGTAGTAAGCTATCATATGCTAGACTATTTTTCTTTATGACAAGGGGATTATTTATTGATCCGTATTTTTTTCAATCTTAAGCTATTGTTTCATTTTTTCAGAGCGTCATTTTGAATTAAATGATACGTTCTTAACTAGACGTATAATACTGAGACTAATTAGTTAAAGTGCCTTTGCTATGCCCAAATTGCATTCAGTTAAGAAGGTATTTTGCATAAGAATAAGGCTTGAAAGAGAAATAATCAAAAGACTGGCTCCAAAAGATTTAAGCACACTTTAAGAGCAATGTTAGAAAAATTATATGAAATTATGTCTTTGTTTTTATATTAATTCATAATAATTGAGTGTTGCATAATAGCCCTTATATCCTCTTGTTCAAAACGTTTGCCCTTTCATAGTTTCGAAAAAAACTTGAATCTACCCAAATGGATTTTTGTGTCCATTCCGTCTATCATTAAAAGAGGTATATAACGTGAAAATGTTTTATCGTTAAGTGTCGAATATAAATAAGTGTTAGAATGTTTCCAGACAGCAAATACTATTGGATGGACTTTAAAAGTGTATAAGGGAGGAAGGGTTGGAATATTAATTGCATATAGGCAAGCCAATAGTTCCTACCTTCCGTCACTTCGAACAGTTTTGAATGCCACGCTGATTTTCCAACTGGGTCAATATGAATTATTCAAAATCTGCGAAAACATCTATAAGTTTTAAATGAGTTGAATTTTTCAAGATTGCAGACTAATACTTGTACCTCAGCTTTTGTATTCCTTTCTCCAAGAGAGACTTGCAATAGGCCCGAGGCAAAAACAAATCCCGCTTGATTTTTTGATATACCGAAGACATATAACTCATTACCAAGTCAACTTCAGGCCCCATGCTACCGTTGTCAACATGTTGATTGCCCATTTTTTAGCACTTTTAATGGCAATGCTGCTTTTCGGCTACCGTATAGATTGAGCATAAATAGCGCCTCTTTGCTTAAAACCTTCGGATAACTTTTAACATGTCCGCGCTTTGACTTTAAAACTGAGATCTTTTTTCACAAAAAGAAGAGTTACGCTATTTGCCTGAGATGCAAATTAAATTTTTAATATTCTGCTATCAAGGTAGACTTTTAAGCCACAAATGCCTGTCAATCTCGGAAACTGACAGCGCAAGTAAGCGACTTCTGAGGGATAAAGGAAACAAATTTAACCATCAAAGTTCATCGGCCTAAAGAAATGATGCGGTCTAGTGCCGTTGATACAGAAGACCAGCACAGTCCTGGTTACCGTAATACTGGCTTCAACCTGGACCTTTCCAGCGTAACAAAATCGGACAATACCAGTTGGGACAGAATTCTGGAACTTTTGATTTCGCCCGACGGTCATTATACCCCTTATCTCGTTCTCTGTTCAGCAACGCTTGCAGTTGCCCTAGTCCTGCTCCTGCTATTTGTCCTCCTGCTAGTTGCCAAACGGCGGAGGTCATTACCTCGTGGATTATCCCTAAAATATCTTTATCTCAAAACGGCAGAAAACGTGGAATTCATAAAGCTCAACGACTATAAGTCCTCTCACAAAAGGGAACCATCCTTCCCCGGAAAGTATGCTCTGCTCGATCCCAAACCCCCTACTCGACGTCAAAAGCCTGAACACGTGGATGTATCCAGTCTATCGATTAGTCAACACTTCAGTTTCCCGCCGTTTACTTGTGTAAAGAAGGCAGCTATTGTATCGTATCTCAGCTTCCGAGTATTCTATACTTTCATTTTCACGTTTTCTGTTGCTCTGTCAATGCTGTTCAGTCTATGGCCACCATATCTGGAAAGCAGCACTGTTCCGTTGCATAACCCCTCATCAGCGCCTCGTGGACAAATGAGAGGCTTTCCAGAGCCTACAGCGGAACCAAACTACAACTGGGTTAACCAACTACACTTAGCACAGCGAATAGCCTTCTCAAGGGAGGCAATGACAGATGAAGAATTATCAGTGCAGGTGAACAGGGCTACCCAGCTTGTCCTTGCCTGTCAGCAACTCGTTATCACACAAGTTGTGGACGTCGTGCGCGAACTGGATCACGTGATTCAAAAACTCCTAGATGACGAATTCTCGTTTCCTGAGGCCGGGTCGAATGACAGCATGAAGATGGCAACACTTTCACAGGTTCCACACTCTCTTTTAAAAACGTCGGCATCGGTCGAATCGGCGGCAACGCAGAGAATGACCTCAAATATATTTCATATTTTGGACAAATTTGTAATGTGCCAAATGAATGAATTCCACCAAGCCATTCAAGACTACCTAAGACATCTAAAAACGGAGATAGAGTACATCGTGATGCCCGATGTTGCCCTCTTTTCGGACATACTCTCGCGTGTCCACTCGTCGCAGTGGTTGTTGTTTGCAAGGCGAATGCTCAACTCGACCAACAGCGGGCACGATATTGCAGACAGCATGACACCCTGGTGGAAGCCAGCCGACGCTGCTGACTCAAGATCGTCCACAAACACCGAAACAAGGAGATCAAACATGTCGAAAATTGACTTTGCACGACAGCTCGGTTTGGCGGAAGCGGAGAATTTCTTATGGACGCCGACGAGAATTGAGAAAGGGTAAGATGCTGGCGGTCTCAATTAGCACTTATTTTCATTCTTTACAAATGTTCATTGTCATATTGGTTGAAAAAGTCTTCTGCAGCTTATACTATATTCTTACTTTATTTTATGAAAATACAAAGCTGGTCTTGGAGAGGCCTAATATGCCAATATCGGAATATAATTTCTATATGAAACCATAGTCTGCATTGAATGGAACGTCTATCAAGCATTCAAAAGTTAAATCAAAAATTCAGATTCCACATTTAACGTGCATTTTTTGCAGATTCCAGCATGAGTTTGTTAAAAATTAACAAAGAGATCTCAGAAGGGCTGTCTGACATAATTATTTTCTAATAATCGCTTTATTAATAATTCAAACCTCGCTAAGCTTTCATGAAAGCGTCTGGATACATATACCAAGTCGCTGCGACTTAAAACGTATTCTGGAATTGATCAGGGAATGTTTAATTGCAGTTTTTTAGCATGCTTCCTTTAGGGCAGCATACGTTCTTGTCAAAAAATGTAAGTGATGTGTGCATAGTCAAGTGACACAAAAGTGTACATTGGCGTAGTAAAGTTCACTACTGCAGTATATAAGGATGTAATATATTCACCACAGATATATCGCACTTCTATCTGTACCCTCTGTTGAACGCTTACCGGGGCTAACTTTGTGAAACCATCCGCATCATAACTCTGAAGGTGCAATTCAATGTGGGTTTACATGTTCGAACCTACGCTCGATTATGGGAAAAGTTGGCTTTTCCTGACGTATGTTTGATTCAGCATCTGAGTCGTTGTAGTATATTGGCCCTTGTGAACGTTTAATCCTTTTATAAACATTAGCTGAATGTAAAAATACGAAAAATGGGATCGCGATTAGCGGAACGGGAGTTTAGTTCGTGAGACGTTTCCGAATCCCACCTTGACTCACCATACGAGACAAAGTGAGA